GGAGACCTATCCCCTGGTAAAGCAATTTGTTTTGGACGTAAACATGGGGGAAACCCTGCAGAGGGCAGTTCCACTCTAACTAATGCTATGGAACTTGTGGCACTGGATTATCTCCTACAGTCAACAGTCGCTGACCCATCCTGCTGGTCCTCAGCAAGGACATGTACTGCAGGTCGGGGTCACGGGTCACTTTATTTATGTTCTGCAGCCCTTATTGAATAATTTCTTCCTTGACCTTTTGGAGTGGGATAATAAAGCGAGTGTGTATGTGTATGTATGGAAAAACAAGGCCTTTGGGGGAGAAAGAAGCCTCTGCTTTCTGAGACAGGATGACTTTAGCCTATTAAAAAGGCCTTTTTATGCAAATGGGGCAAGGAAGTCGCAGGTTATTTGGCTATTATAAAAAAGGGGGTCCTGTCTCAGTAAAGTTTGGGAATCTCTGCCCTAGGGAAACACTAACTATTATCAGCATAGGGTGAGCAACCTGTGGCCCTATAGATGTTGGACTGCAGCTCCGATCAGCCGACACCATCAGCCACGTTACTTGCAGCTAATGGAGAACTGCACCCAAAGAACATCTGCCAAAGCCACACTCCTTGATTTAAATGCTTAAAGTAGTATTTTAAGCCAGATTTAGACATATCATCTAAAAGATAGACTGCATATACTTTTTAAAAAATAAATCATGTCTTTATGGAACAGTCAATAATAAACTGGACAAAACGTTGTTTATCCCCTGTGGTGTATTTGGCATCCCCAGCCTTCTCTCCCTTCATATGCATGTCAAGAAGAATGGTTAGGTAAGGAAAAACCAGTATCACAAAAAAAATATGTATGTTCAGAAGGCAGGAGTCAAAAGGGGGAAACAGACATGAAACATGAACAAGAATGAACAGATAATGGTAATTGTATGTATCATTCTAGTTGCACAATGCATTTTAGACAGGAGGTGGATTTTAGGGCTTGCCTGTTTTCTCCCAGTATATTTAGAAATGCCTCTTCTGAACTATTTTAGTCTCATGGGTTCTCCCCCTCTTTTATCTCACACTAGGAAATCTAAGAATGGAAGACATGACATACTGACAAAGGCAGGTTTTAAGGCAGGGCTCTTGGGCTGGGTTTTACCGACCTGCTGCATCTTCAATCCATTTAGAATTTAGACCTAAAAAACCCTCAGATACCTTCCTACCACAACTTTTCCCTTCTCAAGCCTGTCCGGACCTGGTGGCAGAAACAACTAAAAGTGGATTCTCTTTCAAGTATGAAACGCCAACCCAAGCAGGCCTGAATCCACCCAGAGCCTCTTGGAGCCATGGGAAATACAGCCCGCCACTGTCCCAAAAAAGAAACACGTTCCTACTTGTTGAGTAACATTAATGATATTCTCACGCAAAGAAGGGGAAGGGGTTGGTGAAGGATGTGGTAACCACCAGAGCCTTTAAACAGGGTGGTGGAAAATCCCTCCATCAAATAGGCAGATACAGATCAGTCACTCCTTTACAAGGCACTTAGAATCACAGAATCACAGAGCCAAAAGGGTCCATCGAGTCCAAATTGTGCACTTGTCGTAGCACACCTACTGTGGCCTTGTTTCTTCTCCACTGGTTCACACACACATACAAATACAGTATATACTTTTAAAAAGCATACATACTGTGCTTGCAAAACAGAAGAGTCCTCTCACACGATGGGGACAGATACATAGCCAGGAAGAGTAACAAAAGGGAGAGTCCTTAAGGATCTGTCCCTTTTGTCAATCTTCCTGGCTATGTATCTGTCCCCAACTTGTGAGAGGACTCTTCTGTGTCGCAAGAAGCTTGGGTTCCTCAGGGAAGGAAACAGTACAGGACTGAGATAATAGATAGCCCTCCCCCTCCCCCACACCAAGTTAGGAAACATCAGAACTTTTTTCGTGCTCAATTGTGTTATGGGGCTGCCACCCACAAACCTGAGCATTCATAGTTACCTAGTGGGGCAGAGGGGTGGGAGATGCAGCGAATTGTGTTATGGGGCTGCCACCCACAAACTTGAGCATTCATAGTTACCTATGAATGGAAGATGCAGCAATGCAGGGGAAGGGAGGGAAGAAGTCATTTTCCTTGGCTTGCCCTTCTGAAATGTACAGGGATGAAGGGTGTGTGTGCCTTAATGATTAGGCATCTCCTAAATCTTCATGTCCCCTCCTCTATGATACATACAATCAAACTGTCAAGACCTTTTCCCCCTTCACTTGGGGACATGTCAACTGCTCTCAACTTATAAACAGCGAGTTTATCTGACTTCTAGTTAAACCCATTTCTCTGTCTCTCTTAGTCCCAAAAATCAGCAGCCATCAGGATTACATTTGGATTAAGAAAAAAAATACTATTGTACTACAGTTCCTGCTACTTACTGCTACAATGGTTAATCAACGCTTGTTTATGCATAAGTAAGCAGCAGGAAGAACCCACTAAGCTATTTTCGGGTCATTCCATTTCCTGTCCAAATGGAGGTACTCAGCCATACAAATTCACTACTAGGTGGAAGAATGCTATCACACTGGGGAAGACCACCAATACAGCTCAAAGCCCATGGCTGTAGTCTTAAAGCAATGGTCCCCAGATGTTCTTGGACTACAACTCCCAGAAATCCTGGCCAATACAGCTAGTGGTGAAGGCTTCTGGAAACTGCAGTTCCAAGAACATCTAAGGATCCAAGGTTGGCAACCACTGGGTTAGAAAGTCAGAGTAAGACCTGGGAGGTCCAGATTCAGCTTCCCATTGTGCTATGAAACTCACTAAGCGACCATGGACCAACATTTAAGAAATAAATTAACATAATATGGTCAGGAATGGAAAAAGCCATCATGAAGCCAGGAAAAACCACTCTGATGCAGCCATGTGTAAAAGGAGGAAGTGATTCTTCAAGAATAAATCACATACTGCAATCATTTTCTGCTAACCTAATGAAGAAACTAATCCATCTATACACTAGAGCTATACACTGAGCTGAATCTCTTGACCAGGATCAACAACAGTGGAAGAAAATATAATCACTCCAAAGAGGGAGTAACTTGTCAAACATCAAGCCATGTAAGAAAAAATAACTTCAACACTACTTTCACTTAAATTAATTACATTCACTGCATGTTTAATTGCTACCTTCTTTGCATACTTTATTACTGCAGATTCCATCTAGCAGGATCCAATTGCACAATTAAGAGCGCTGCAAGTACAAACGAAGAGAAAATGAAATCCTGTCTACTTCCTTCAAAACACATGATTGCTTCTGGCTAGAAGTGAACAAACCTTGGTGTGTTTTTTTTTTAATGTGTGATTTCTGCAAAAGCTGACGTCTATAATAAATCACTCCAAAGGTGAAGAAACTGAAACTTAGGTTGCAACAGATACAAAAAGCCCATGCCTGAAGCCTCTGAAAAGAACTTATTTGGAGACTCTTTAAAATAAATGTCCATTTCTTAAGACCAGGCAAGCCGACAACTGAAGCTGTTACAGCAGAACTATGAAAACGTGCTTCTCTGCCTAGAAGTTCACAAGCTCCCTGCAACATTTCTGTGTAGTCCCAAAATATTCATACAGAATAACTCTATTCCAAACATAAATCCACAAAGAGTACCACGAGAAAACACCACTAAGAAGTCTGTTTCCTTCTGATGAAACGATGATATCCATTAAAACACATTTTGGGAGAACGGAATAACACACATTATAGAAAATAGTATCTAGGATCAAAGGACTCTATCACAGGTCTAAATCCTGCTTGTCTGCTCGCACCACCTGTTCAGAATGGGAAACAACTGAATAAAGAGATCAAGTGTCTTTACTCCAGTTTAGGCAAAAGCACACGATTTAAAAGTCCCAAAGCTTTTACTCAATCCAGGAGGGGAAAGGGGGGGGGGGAAGGGGAAACCGGGAAGGCACCACGCCTTCTTGATCTCACAGGATCCAAGCTTCGCAGCTGGCCACGAGAACTGTGGACACAGCTGCCATGAGGCAAGTTTTATTAAATTATTTAAGACATCAAGAAAAGAGGGGCGGCCCAAAGTCTACTGCTTCCAGCGCACCCTCCCAAGCCAACGGCGACAGTCGCGATCGGAACCGTCGATAAACTGAACTCGATGGGAGGTCCTCAACGAATTGAATGGGTCTTATATAGGATCGGGAAGGGCGACACCTTTTCTAATTCTCGTGGCCTTTAAGAGGACCGAGCAGCCCAACAAACGACAAAACACGCGGCTTTCCAACTTTATTCCAGGGCTGCGATGCTTTTGCCTCTTCCTCCTCCTCTCCCCCCCCCTCACCGCCCCACTCCCTTCTCCGGGATTTCCACCTCTCCCCCGGGGTCGGAAAGGAGATGCGGGGCTTCGCCGACTGAGCCGCCCGGGCAAGAGCTGAATGGCCGCCGGCACGGCAGTAACTTTAACCGGAGCCTGAATCTCTCCCTGGGATTTCGGGGGTGTGTGTGTGTGTGTGGAGGTGGAGGAGGACTCGTGCACGGGACGCTCCCTCCCCTCCT